AAAAAAAAAGAAAAAGAATGTATGTAAAGTTTTGATATTCACCCTTACTTTAAATCATAGGAATAAAAAATTTTATTTGATGGAAGTTAAAAATGAGAAAACTAAATACTACTAGGTATTTTAATTTTTTCAGGACGCCAATGGAGCCATATGGAAGCTTGACCTTAGTTTTTCAAATATCGTAAGTTGCCTATTTTTCTCTAACTTTTATAGTACAAAAAAACCTTTGTTATTTTTTATTTAAAAGACATTTTACATTTCTCCAAATTCGATCATCATTCCCATCAAAATATCACTCAAAATTTGCAGTTCCTAAAAATTCCCCCTTTTCTCCCCTTTCTTCCCCACCGCTCATTATGGTTTTACATAAAACAGATCTCAGAGCAAAATTTACCCCCAAAATGACAATGACACAGCCTAACATTATTCAGTGTTTTCTACAGTGTTCATGAAAGCATGGCATTTTCATTTCTATTATTTCATTTACATTGGCCCTCACAGTAACTCTGTTAGGCGGGTGACTGTCGCCGTCTCATTTACGGAAGGAGAAACGGAGAGTGACATTTGGTGTGATCTGTGTCAAATCACACAGCCAGTAAGTGCAAAGCCAGGCCTCCACCTGGCTCTCCGAATTCCAGCGTCCAGCACTCTTTCTAACCTATTACGCTTCCTATTTCTACCCAAATAAAATCAGACACATTATGGAGTTCTACTGGCATTTCTTTAAACCTGACCCTAATTGTGTGTTATCCTGTCTTGGAGATTGAGGCAGCTGTCTGTCTTTTCTCAGACCCAGGATCCAGAATGCCTCTTTGCTTTTCATTCGGGAGCTGTCGAAGCCTTGGCCATTTCTCCTATCACTTACCTCATGGCCACAGTTGCCCTGGACTGTAAGTAGAAACGCGCATTGAAAATATATCAGGTCTTGTCTTGTTTTCAGAACAGTTTCATGTGTGTGTGTGTGTATGTGTGTGTGTGTGTGTGTGTTTGGTTAAAAGCATTTGAGAATTTTTCCAAAAGGAAAGTCTTTTCCACATAAGGGAGGGGTCATCACTGAGAGGCAGAGGGCACAGAATGCAGCAGCCATGGCTCTGCAAGAGATGAGAGTAAGGACGCGCTCTGAAGCTGTTCACGGAGGGGCTGTTTACTGTGATAAAAAAAACGCTCTTCCTTTTCTTTCCATCACTTTTTTCCTTCTTTACTTGTGGCAAATCCGTGAGGTCTGTGCAAGATGAAACCGGCCCATCTGTCAATCATTCGTTGTCTTCTTTATGTCCTATTTATGAATTACCTATTTGAGGGTGTACATGAACATTTTTGACTAAAGAAAGGCTCTGGATTATCAGTTGATTTAGTTATTTAGATGTTATAATACTCAACATGCAAAAAGGAAGCCAAGGGGGCAGCAGGTAGCATGGTGGTTAAGGGCTCTGGACTCCTACATGGCCAACTGCGGTTCGAGTCTTGGACCTGGAGGCTTGCTTTCTCATTTTCCCTCTCTCTCTGTCTCTGTTCCTCTCTGGTCAAGTTAAAATAAATGAGTAAAATGGTTAAATAATTCTTTAAGAAAAAAATTGAGCCACGATTGTTTTCATAGATACTGTATATATGATCTGTTTCTTTTAAAACGGTCTAGGCTCTATTCGAATCTATGATTTTGCTGGCAAAGCTCCTTTGGTTCAGATGAAATTCAAACAAGGAGGTACAGCCCTTGCTTGGGTACCCCGGCTGGTGAGTTTGTGGTTATGATGATCTTCCAGAATATATCAGTAAACAAAGTATATCAGTATATTTCTTGGAAAGATAGATATTTTCTGTCAGAGAATTTTAGAGAAGAGTAAAAAATTTAAGAATTAAAAATTTAGGTTAGTTGATTTTACTCCGAACATTACAGAACTCATATCACGGCCTCCCTATTGTTATGGATTGGGTCCTGTTTTTACTGAAAATCCTATTTTTATGTCACCTAAAGATTAGTAATAGTTCCACGTTACAAAGCAATCACTAGAACTTGGTGTATTTAGCTTCTATTTATCAGTCTTGATTGCATTCACCATGTTAGTATTTCCAAGGGGCTAGTATGGGTTGAGGCTTGTTCTAGTTTTGGAGAATACAGCAGCGAAGCAAGAGACAGAAATACCTGCCCTCGTAGACCTTACCCTTTAGTGGGAGGGACGCAGAGATAGACAATAAGTAAAAGAAATAAGCGTATTATATTAGATCATGGTAAAACCTATGGGGGAAAATTAGGCAAGGATAGGAAGTTGGTCTAGTTATCCATTTGCTGTGCAGTAAACTATCTCAAAATGCAGTGGCATAAAACAGCAGTCATTTTATTTTGCTCACCTACTCTAGACTAGGAATTCCGACAAGTGACAGCAGGGATGGATTGCCTCTGCTTCAGAGTATCTGGGCTCTCAGCAGAAGAGACTGGAATGGCTGGGGCCTGGATAATCCATTACTAAGCTGGCCCCTGGCAGGAATGACTTGGAGCCTGGGCTAAGCAGGAGATAGTACCTAGAAGATGGTAGGCAGACACCCCACTGATGTTTGTTCACTGAGTGTTCGAATTGCCATTGTTCACACTCCTGAGGTCGTTAGTGATAAGGATCCTAGAACAGACGGAGGTTACCAGAAAGTAGTGTAAAGATTTGCCTATGAGCAACCAGTGTGGAATTGCCCAAGTCTAACTAAAATACAGAGTTATCTGTTATGTAGCACAATTTCCTTCATCAGCTAATTTTAGGTCCCTTGCATTTAATTCTTTTCCAAGATAAACTACGCGGGAGCGCAAATTATCGCAGGATTTGAAGATGGGGTTGTTCGAATTCTGGAGCTTTATGATCCAAAAGGGCTCACAATTTTTGCAGGAAGGAAGAAAATTTTAGATGCAGAGATCTATTTGAAGCAGGTTTTCAAACCCCATACTGCTTGTGTCACTGCTTTAGCTTATGAACGTGACGGAGAAATCCTAGCCACAGGGGTGAGTAGTAGATTTCCTCTGTTAACTATCAAAATTTCATAATGAGCCTTTCCTTTCACATCTCCTGGCTTGATCCTGCCTTATCTACAGAAATTCATTTCCTAAGAATAGATTTATATTTTGCTTTCTTTGAATTCATATTCCCTCAGTGTAGTCTGTGCATAACATTTTAAAATATTCTTACAAATTGCATTCTAATGCTTATTTTAAGTGAATAGACAATTTCAACTAGCATTAATGCTAGATGTTTTTATTTATAATCAGTGTTTTCTAATATAGCTATGTTCTTATTATAGAATTATATATAAAGAGAATAACTGCAAATTATTTATGCACTAATAGGTGAGCAATTGCACTGTGGAGTTGTTTTGGAAATTAATCTTTGTACAAGTGTGCTGATTACATTTTCAGTACCTCATAGTAGATTACATGATTTGTTAAGTGCTTTCATGGGGAAAATGAATCCAATGTTTGAAATAAGTATCCCCCAGGATAATTTCAGATATATGACTATCATAGATATAAGTAAATAGTGGATATACCGTTTATTGTTAAGTTTTGTGTGTGTGTTCTATGGACTAGACTTCATAGTAATGTATATTATGGGTTTTTTTTTTTTCCCCTTAGAGTAAAGATAACACCGTCTTCTTCTTCGAAGTGGAAAAGGATTATAAGCCAGTTGGTTATATCAAGACTCCTGGACCTGTTTGCCAGTTAGAGTGGTCTTCGCTCTCTCATGCAAGTCATTATTTGTCATCTACTTAAATCTCAGCTACCACTGTTGAAATGATCTCGTGATAGAGAACAGCAACCCCGTCCTGGGTCCTCGAGGGGAGACAGGAATGAGGCGACACAGAGCTTAGAAGGCTCCAGCTCAACACAGTCTCCTGTCACCCGAACACCACTCAGGAGCTCCATGCGCTTCTCACCACCCGCCTTCTCGTCCCTACTCTAATTGTCATGACCCGTGATCCCCTCCCAAAATACAGGGTTTTATCTAGCTTTGCTTCTGCAGCTGTGACTTTCATCCAGATGCACGTTGCAGAATGTTTGTCTCGGACCAGTCTGTCTCTCCGACAACCAGAAGCTCAATTCTAGGGTCTGAGTGTATCTAGATGTGTATCTAGATTCTCACCTTATCTTTTGCTCTGCTTCCAACCCATCTCTGTTTCCTAATCTTCCATTGCTTCTTTGCTAATGGTTGGTAATTCAGTCTTGACAATTAATCTCCTTTGATGTTTTCAATTTTCTTAAGTGTGAGCATGGAATAATCCAGTCATTCCAGAACCGTTGATGGTCTAAATCAAGGCCGTACTAGGTGTCTGGATGATGGTGCTGATAAACTACACGGAAGTGCTGTCAGGGTACCTGGAGCAGCATCTGTAACCCTCTTCAAACTCTCCTATGTGAGAGGATGATAAAAAATATGTTAGTATCCTCTAGAAAAAAAGGTGCTTGGGACCAGTAGTTGGCATAATAGCTATGTCACTGGACTCCCATGTAGTCAACTGTGGTTCAAGTCCCAGACCCGGTGGCTTAAACTCACGCTGGCACGTGTGCATGCATGCCCAAGATCCCGGGAGGAGAATGGAGGAGAAGGGATTGCGGCATGGCCATCGCCTCTGGGGGGTGATTTCTCGCTTTCTGTCTCTCTGTCTCTCTCTGCCTTTCTGGCAAGCACATGCCCTATAGCAAAATCCTCTCCCCCCCCCAAAAAAAAAGAAGAGAAAAGAAAAGAAAAGAAAAGAAAAAGGTGCTTTTTAAAATCAACATATACCCATTGTTTCTATTTTTGTTGGGCATTATGGTGGATCCAAGTGAGCAGTCAAAACAGTCTCTATTCTCAAAAGAGAAGATAAATATATTTTAAAAGTTTAACAGCTCTATCACTGAATAATAAAGGTTTCATAAGGGAAATATTAGACTAAAATATTAGTGGTATGGACAATGTGTGTTGTTAACTTACAATAGTGAGCTATCAAGAAAGGGAGAAATCCAAATAAGTCATTGTTTTGTATTATCACACTGTAATTTTGGGTACTTGGTAGGATATAGGCAGTTGTGCAGGGGGTGGGTGTAGGCATTTCAGGTGAAAAACAATAGTTATAATGGAAGTTCTGCGTGAAAGCACAGGTGTTTGTGTCATAACATGTGATATTGTATACGTCCTTCACTCATGTTCCTAGACATGAAGTTAAGAAAACCCTCCATTCTCTTCTTGGAATTTTGGGAATGTATGCACCCGCACCCGACATCAGTTTCAAGCCACTGGGTCTGGGACTCGAATCATGGTCGGCCACATGGGAGTCCAGTGCCTTAACTACTACACCACCAGCTGGCATTACGTTCTTTGCACTTGATCTTCTCTGCTTAAAATGGCCTCTGTCCTTATTATCTTGGCACACTTATGTTCACTATTTTTTAAAATAAACACACACACTCCATTTGCTAATATTTTTATTAAGAATTTTTGCACCTATATTCATAAGAGTGATACTGTTCCCCTACAAAGTGGTGTCCACCTTACAAAATATTGGGTTGTCTGTAAACTCATGGCACATTTTTTGCATAGAAAAACAGAAAAATATGGCTTGGCTTTCCCAACAACCCAATAGAAGGTGCATAGTAAGTGATTATAGAATCAACAACTGGGTGAGTAGACATTTCGGATAATGTGTCTGGGAAATATCAAGTTTGGGCTTTCCCATACATGGTTAAATACGTGGTTCTGGAGCCAAGGGAGAGGTCTGAGCTGGAGAGAGCGATGAATGAACTTAGAATCTCTGTCTCTGAATGTGAATGGGAATGAAGGCTATGAGCTTTCCCAGGGAACGCTGTGGAGAGAGGACAAGGGGGAAGAGCACAAGAACTTTGGGAACATCCACATTCAGCGAATTTGGGCAGCTGGGGAGTAACCCGTCAAAGGAGGCTGAGAGTGAATATCAGTCCGTGCACTGCAGATCCTCCTCGATAGTCCCAATTTTAGTACTCTTCTCTTTGGACTAACAGGTTTCACAACCACATATTTGATTCAGAAAGTTTGTTATGACATCTATCAAGAAGCCAAATCTAAATCTAACTTTTTAAATGAGTGTCTTGATTAATAATGAAATAATAATTATGAAATACTAATAGTTATATAATAATTATTAATAAGTGTCATTCTTCACCAATAACTGCAATAAGGAATGAAGTCTCTTAAAAGTTAACATACAGGGCCAGCCTGTAGCCTAATGGTTAAGAGCACTAGATCTCACGTAGCCAACCGTGGCTTGAATCCCAGTCCCCAAGGCTTGAAAAACATGCCAAACATGTGTACATACATGCCCCAATTTCCAACAGATGGAAAAGTAGAGGGGGGGGGTTTGTCATGTGGCCACACCCCATTGGGGTTTAGAGGGGGAGGGTGGCCATGTGGCCACACCCCATTGGGGGTACTTTCTCTCTGTCTATCTCTGTCTCTTACAATCACACATACCCTCTGTCAATAAAAAACAAACAAAAAACCAAACAAAAGCAAAAACAAAAAACAGAACAATTCTCTTTTTCCTGGTTTGTAATCTCTTTGAACTATGATTCTAAAAATGTGCCTCCATGTAAGTGATATGTTTAATCTTCTGTTTTAGGTTGAAAGTACTTTACTGATCATCTGTGAGAATGGCTACATTCTGGAGGCTCCGTTGCCAACCATCAAGGAAGACGTGGATGATCGAGATGTAGCCTCCTATGAAATCAAAGACATGTGCCTACAATGTTTCCATTTCTCAAGTGTCAAATCTAAGATTCTGGTATGAGAGATTCTGGAAGCATGATCTTTTAACATTTTTTTTTCTTTTTTTAGAATGTAAAATATCCTGGGACCAGCAGTTGGCGTAATGGCTATGTCGCTGGACTCCCACATACTCGACCGCGGTTCACGTCCCAGACCCGGTGACTTAAAGCTCACGCCGGGTGTGTGTGCGGGTGTGCCCAAGATCCCGAGAGGAGAACAGAGAAGGGATTGCGGTGTGACCATCCCCCCTGGGGGGTGATTTCTTGCTTTCTGTCTCTCTGTCTCTCTGTCTCTCTCTGTCTCTCTGGCGAGCGCACGCGCTCTATAGCAAAAACAAACCCCCAAAAAAAAAAAAAAAGAATGTAAAATATCCTTTGTTAACTGTTGGAAGATTACAAAGAACAAAACATAAACCCCAACCGTAAGGAGTTTTTATCTGGCAGGAAAGCAGGGAGTTGTATTGAAGGCAGTAGTGAATAGACACTAGACTCAAAGCACCAAGCAGGGAATTTTAGGGCCCCCCAGAGGAAAGACTATAGATGATTCCGATGGAGAGGTGGGAGGAGGTCGAATATGCTGCATGGAAGTGACATTTAGTATTTTAAAATGGGGAGAATTTCGAGACGATGAAAACAGGGAAGATGGCAGTAAAGGCCGGAGTGCATCCTGAGAGTGTCAGAGCTGTGAGAGTTTTTGCTATTTTCAGGAAGTGAAGGATGGATTGAACTGATGAAATTGAGGAATGCCATGTGTGGAGGGATGGGGCAGGGGTCTGTGATCAGCACGTGAGGCTTTTTAAGTGCCAGCCAAGAAATTTTGTTTAGACTGTGGAGACCTATCATGAGTTTTTGGGGAAAGGATCGACGTGATGAGATCACAAAAACCAGGAAGATGATCCTGAGGGGCAAACAGAATGAAGACGTGAGAGACCAGAGGCAGGAGTACCAGTGGGAGGGGCTCTCTGGAAAGCACACCTAAAGATGATGAGGGCCTCAGTGACCGTATTACCTCAGTTGGAAAAGACTTTCCCCGTAGACTATTTCAGTTCACCTGATTCCTGGGTTGACAGTGACGGGCTCTGAGAGAAATTATATTTAGCTTTTTTACTAGGAAAAAATGACCAAATAATTTCTGTAAAATTAGGATCGATAATGATGAAACATAAATAACAGTCATCCAAATGATTTGTAAGTTTTAATGATAAAATGATATCCCCAAATAGATTATTTTTAAGTGCTATTTACTACTTAATACGTCAAAGCTGTGCGTTTTTCTAGAACCCCATGTTTTTCCTGCTGTCTCCAATAGTGTAAATGAATGAATGCATTGCAGTTGATTTTTTATCTACTTAATGTCTCTTTTAAAAGAGATTATTGGAAATTGAAAGGAGAGAGAAACAAAAGGAGCTGAGGGAGAAGGAAAAGGAAGAGAGGAGGAAGAAGCTAGCAGAAGAGATGGGAGGTGATGGAGAAAAAGAATTTCAGGGTGGAGAGGAGGAAGAAGAGGAAGAAGAGCCATTACCTGAAATCTTTATTCCGCCAACCCCCAGTCCCATCCTCTGTGGATTTTATTCTGAGCCAGGAAAGTTCTGGGTTTCTTTGGTGAGTAATAATGTGATTTTTTTTTTAATCTCAACCCTATTCCAATAGAATTCATAGTCATTATTTATCATCATATTCTTACTCTTACATAAAGACTTCATTTATTAAGTGCTATTGAAGTTGTGAGTACTGATAAACGTGTTTGAGTTACAGTTGTTTTATATTGTTGTTATATTATTTTAGCATCTCTTTTAAATATCTATTTGTTGGGGCCAGCAGGTGGCATGGTGATGAAGGCACTGGACTACCACATGGCTGACTGTGTTCAAGTCCTGGACCTGGTGGCTTGAAAATCACAACAGGTGCATGTGCATGCATGCCCAAAATCCTGAGAGGAGAATGGAGGAGAAGGGATTGCAGAGTGTCCATCCCCCCTGGGGAGTGATTTCTCATTTTCCCACTTTCTTTCTCTGGCAAGTGCACATATCCTGTGGCAGAAACCTAAAGGAAAACAGCATATGTCTGTTCTATTCCTATCTCTGACAATCTTGCATGTTCCAGGCAAGTCAAGGGAGAAGGACCAAGGGTAGAAGGTCAAAGGACTAAAGGGTTTTCCAGCTGATTTCTGTTTTATTTTATTTTTTTATTTTATTTTTGTTGTTGCTGTTGTTTTTAATTTTGAAAATAATAACTCTCATGGCAGCGTTATCTAGGATATTTAACTTACATTTTATTATTCACAACTATGCAGTGTGGCCATTTGGGAGTCTAGAAAGATGAGTATTTGTAGGTGTTCTCATTGCCTCTGTGAACAGCTAAAAGAAGAAAAGTGGAAAAACAGATATATTAGAAAGGCAAATAACAGGTACTGTAGCTATGTTGTGAGAATATTCCTCCAGTTTTATATTGTTTGTTTTTATCATGGAACAGTTTATCAACCTATTACAAAGCAAGATTTTCCTCATCACAAGTTGGTCTCCATTTTTAGTTCCATCCAACAACAACAAAAATTTGATATGAAAGTGTATGTGAAAGGTCATTACTAGCTGATAACATGTCCCAAGCTGTTCGGCACTGACTAGCCAAGGATGTTGCTGTATGGATTGATAAGTGCTGACACTTCCTTTCTTCAACTTTTCCTAGAAATGCGTCTTTCATGAGACTTCTTCTTTTTTCAAAAGAGGTTTTTTGTTTTGTTTTGTTTTTGCCATAGGACATGTGTGCACCCCCTTTTCTCTCTCTCTCTCTTTTAGATTTTTGCCATAGGGTATATGCACTTGCCAGAGAGAGACAGAAGGAGATAGAGAGAGTGTGAGAAATCACCCCCAGAGGGAATGGTCACATTGCAATCCCTTCTCCTCCATTATCCTCTTGGGATTTTGGGCACTCATGCACACATGCCCTGTGTGAGTTGTTTGTGTGTGTGCTTGTGTGTGTGTGTGTGCGTGTGTGTGTGTGTTTTGAGAGAGAGGTTTTTTTTGCTATAGGATGCGTGCACTTGCTGGAGAGACAGGCAGAGACAGAGAGACAGAAAGTGAGAAGTCGCTCCCCAGGGGGGATGGCCACACCACTCAATCCCTTCTTCTTCATTCTCCTCTTGGGATTTTACACACATATGTACATGTACCTGGCATATGCGTCTGTGTGTAAGGTGCTGGGTCTGGGTATTAAACCTTGAAGTCAATCATGCTGAATCTGGCTGACCTACCTTCAAATACACTTTGTTTTTTAGAGGTTTTTGCCTTAGGCCATGTGAACTAGCCAGAGAGAGAGAGACAGACAGAGACAGAGAGAGGGAAAGTGAGAAATCACCCTGCCCCAGGGGAGGGGGGATAGCCATGCTGCAATCCATTCTCCTCCATTCTCTTCCTGGGATCTTGAGTGCACATGCACATGCACCTGGTGTGAGTTTCAAACCACTGGGTCTGGGACTCGAACTGTGGTCGATCATGTGGGAGTCCAGTGACATATCCACTATGCCATATGCTGGTCCCTCAAATACATTTTTAAAAAATTTGTTCTGGGGCCAACCAGTGGCATAGAGGTTAAGGCAGCTGGATCCCACATGGCCAACTGTGCAGTTTGAGTTCTGGACCAGCAGGTGGAAGAAAATATGCCGGGCAACTCTGTGTGGGTGCCCAAAATCCCAAGAGAAGAATGGAGCAAGTATTGTGGTGTGACATCTCCCTGGGGGGTAATTTTTCTCTCTCTCTTTCTCCTCCCCCTGCCTCTTGCAGTGAGAACATACACCCTGTAACACACTTATTTATTTATTTATTTATTTATTTTTTGGGAGAGATTTTCACTATAGGGTGCGTGCGCTTGCCAGACAGACAGAGAGAGACATAGAGACAGAAAGCGAGAGATCACCCCCCAGGGGGGATGGTCGTGCCGCAATCCCTTCTCCTCCATTCCCCTCTTGGGATCTTGGGCACGCACGCACACGCGCCAGCATGAGTTTTAAGCCACCGGGTCCGGGACGCGAACCGCAGTCGACTACGTGGGAGTCCGGCGACAGAGCCATTACACTAACTGCTGGCTCCCAGCACACTTTTTAAAAAAAGATTTGTTCTGGTTACTTTCAGTGGAAGTCTGTTTGAAATAATCTACTCTGAAATGATCAAAAGTGAAAATTTAGCAACTTGAACCTTGGAGATTTTTTTAGAAGAATTATTTATTTTATATATCATTGTTTTATTTTTATTTATTTATTTTTTATGTTTTTTGGAGAGGTTTTTGCTATAGGGCGCGTGCACTCGCCAGACGGACAGAGAGAGAAACATAGAGACAGAAAGCGAGAAATCACCCCCCCTGGGTGGATGGTCACGCCACAATCCCTTCTCCTCCATTCTCCTCTCTGGATCTTGGGCATGCGCCCAGCGTGAGTTTTAAGCCACTGGGTCTGGGATGCGAACTGCAGTCGACTACGTGGGAGTCCAGCGACAGCCATTACGCTAACTGCTGGTTCCCTGATTGTTTTATTTTTTAAAATTTACTATAGAGCACACATGCTCACCAGAGACAGAGAGAGAGGGAGGCAGGGAGAAAGAGAGAGAGAGAGAGAGAGAGAAGCAAGTCACCAGGTCCAGGATCCAAGGTATAGGATCCAAACTGTACTCGGCCATGTGGGAGTCCAGCACCCTAACCCCAAGGTGATTTTTGTTTTAATTTCCTTTTTTTTACTAGCTCACTTACTGTTCATAAAGATTTTCTTGTCCTACATCTGTTTCTTGTAATAAGAAACCTATGATCTACACGGAGAAAGAAAGCTTGAGCAATGCAGCTCTTCCAAAGAACGGCTTGTCTTCTTATTACTTAGCTATATTTCCCCTCAGCAGTCCTTTCCAGGACTATTTCAAGTTTAAAGTTACTGTAGACTGAAAACTACCTGTGAAAACAACGTCCTTCAAAAACCTACTTGACGGAATAAAATGGGAATCCACAGGTGGTCAGAGGTGCTCTCTCTTTTATGTTGACTTTCCAATGGAGGCGATAGTGCTGTTATAATTATATAGTTGCATAAAATGGCAATAGAGATGCTTTGTAGAAATACTAAAATCTATTTAGAATAACCACATAGGAATAAAGAATTATAAAATCTATTTTAGGTTCTAAAATTCGAAATAAAAGAATCCTCATGAAGGTTATATGTGTTAAATGATATTTAATTATCACCTTCTATATTATTTATCTTTCTTCCAGGGCGGCTATGATTCAGGTTTTCTGTATCACTGTAAGTTTCCCCCATGTGACAAAGACAGTGATTTCAAAGAACAAAACGATGAGCCTTTTGATTTTCGTTATCTTGAGGATACAGATGACAATCCAATCCAAACTATCACTTTCAGGTGAACAGAATTTCACATGGATGTTTAACACTATATCCCATTATTGTATGTGTTTTTGTCTGTTATAGATTTGTCAATTTTATTTTTTTTAGGTTTTTGCTATAGGGTGCATGTGCTCATTAGAGAGAGAAAGTGAGAAATCGCTCCCCCAAGGGGAAAAGGCCACATTGCAATCCCTTCTCCTCCATTCTCCCCATGAAATTTTGGGCATGCGTGCACGCGCGCACACACACACACACACACACACACACACACGCATGGCATGATTTTCAAACCACCAGGTCCAGATCTCAAACAGTAGTCAGCCATGTGGGAGTCCAGCATCTTAATCACCTTGCCACCAGCTTGTCCTAGATTTGTCCATTTTAAAAGATCCACCCAAATGAAACAGTGCTTAAATAAAGTTTGGTTAAATAAATCAAGTGAATAAATAAAATCTAGGCAAGGCTGAGATTATATTTAAATCCCTCTATCAGATATACTGTCTAGATTTCTGTTTATCTGGGCCAGGCTATGGAGTGGTGTTTAAGGCAGCAAGATTCCACATGGCCGAATATACCATTTGAGTTCAGAACCTGGCAGTTTGAGAAACACACTGTGGTTTGTGTGTATATGCCCCAAAATCCCAAAAAGAGGGGACAATGGAGGAAAAAGGATTGTGGTGTGATCATTCCCCACAAAGGGTGCTTTCTCTCTCCCTCTGCCTCTCTTTTTCTCTCTGTCTCTCTCCAGGAGCATGTCTCCTCTGGCAAATTAAAAAAAAAGTTTCTGTTTATGGCACAATTAAATTGTGTGGATTGATTTTGACTTTCTTTTATTTTGGAGAGGTTTTTGCTATAGGGTGCGTGCGCTTGCCAGACAGACAGAGAGAGACAGGGAGACAGAAAGTGAGAATCACCCCCCAGGGGGGATGGCCACGCCGCAAACCCTTCTCCTCCATTCTCCTCTCAGGATCTTGGGCATGCATGCACATGCGCCTGGCGTGAGTTTACGCCACCGAGTCCAGGACTCGAACCGTGATCGACTACGTGGCAGTCCAGCGACATAGCCATTACGCTAATTGCTGGCCCCTGGGATGACTTTCTTTTACTTAGGAAGATGCTACTACATGATCAGGTAATGAAGGTTCAGACTTCAATAATTCTGGAGAAATTGCAAATTCATTCATTAGCCCTTTAATAATTGAGAATTGAGCATATGTATTAGTCATTCTTCTGAAGGCCAAATATAATAGCTCCAGATATCAAACTGGCTTGTTCTCCCTCTGTCCTTCTGTATTAGTTAGTTAGGACTGCCACAGCAGAACACTGCAGACTGAGGAACTTCGGCAAGAGAAATTTATCTTCTTGTGTTCCAGAGGCTACAATTCTGAAATGAAGAAGTCAGCGGGTTTGCCTTCTCTTGTGGCCTCCCTCCCTGGCTTCCACATCCATGCCTTCTGGCTGTGTTCTCACCTGGTCTTCTGGGTACAGAACCTCTCTGGTGCCTCACTTTGGGTATCCTAATCTCTTCTTAAAGGATCACACTTAGACTGGACTAGGACCCACCTTCATGTTCTCATTTCAAATAATCACATCTTTCAAGGCCCTGTCTCAAAGCACGATTACATTCTGAGACATTGGGGGCTAAGGCTCCCACATAAAAATCTTGAGGGTGTGAAATTCAGTTCATAAACCTTTGTTATTAAAAAATGTAGCCATTTTGGGACCAGCAGATAGCATGATGGTTATTCGTTGGACTCCCACGTAGTTGACCACGGTTCAGTTCCCAAACCTGGTGGCTTAAAACTCACACCGGGCACGTGTGCATGCCCAAGATCCTGGCAGGAGAATGGAGGAGAAGAGATTGTGGTGTGGCATCCCCTTTGGGGGGTGATTTCTCCCTTTCTGTCTCTCTGTTTCTGTGTCTTCTGTGAACGTACATGCCCTATAGCAAAAATCTCCCTTAAAAAAATAATTAACCATTTGTAGATTACTTTAAGATTGAGCAGTATTTTCAGGTTCATAGGAAGAACAACTTACTTTCTTCTTACTCCATAGCACTAGCAAAACTATGATGTTTTGTGGAATGCGAGATGGAGCCATTCGAGTTTACGTCCTAAGTGAGAACGATCCGTCCCTGACCAGCTTAGAGGACTACTGGCACTTCAGCGTCCACGACAATAACTACGGATGTGTTAGAAACATCTCTACTAGCTTCGATGATCGTTTCCTGGTGACTACCGGAGCGGATAGTAATATCTTTGTTTTCAGCATTTTTTCTGAATTAATGTTAAAGAAAGGCATCAAAGCCAAAGTACCGTCTCCCAGGGTATGTAGCCAGCTAACCCAGTAATTAATAACAATATAGTTTTAAAATAGAGTTTTTAAGGAATTACTCATATTCCTTAAAAACTGAAAACTATTTAAACACGTTCACCTTAGAGTTTTACCTATTAGTGTTATCATTGTGATGCTGGGGGCTAGGGCTCCCAAATAAAAATCTTGAGGGTGCACAGTTTAAGGTGTTAAATTCCCTGTGTTATTGGTGGACTCTCCAAATTAAAAAAGAAGATGCCAGTGTTTCTGTATCAATTTATTACTCAAAGGATTTTTTAATGCATAATTTTTTCAGGTATAGATTTTGCTTTTCATTTATTCATTTGTTCATTGTAGGGGCATGAAGAAGTATACCTCTACATAAAGTTTGCATTTTAAATGAGTTATAAAAATATTGCATTGCGCCAGCCAGTGCTGTGGTGGTTAAGGAAGCTGGATCCCAACTGCATGGTTCAAGTCCCCAAAATTTTTCAAATTTTCATTTCTTTTAGTAGCAGCAAAATTTGGAATCTGGTGTGCTATTTATGGGACTATGGGCTGCTTTCATTTCCCTACTCGGGGGGAAATTACAGAAGGGAAAGCATGTGAATAAGAAAAAAAGTATTTATCTTTCTACCTAATGCCAGCTCTTTCTACAGAAAAAAAAAATGTATTCCACATTTGAATAATAGTGTCCTTTTACTTATGGCTTAAATTTATTTCTTAAATCTTTGAAGTAGATTCCACTTTTTAAAAATACATTTAACATTATACATTTTTACATCATATGATATGGGTTCTCGAAGCATGTAAATTGCATTACATGTCAAGCAAGTCAAAGATATGACCATATGCAGTAACTTTCCATTCTTGTGTCTGCTAAGTGTTATTTTTTTAGACAGATATTTTTTGCTATAGGATGCATGCACTTGCCAGAGAGACAGAGAGAGACTGAGAGACAGAAAGCGAGAAATCACCCCCCCGCCAGGGCGATTGCCACACCCTTCTCCATTCTCTTCTCGGGATTTTGGGCACACACGCACATGTGCTGGCATGAGTTTTAAGCTGACAGGTTCAGGACTTGAACTATGGTCAACTACATGGAAGTCCAGTGATGCAACCATTACATCATCTGCTGGTTATTTTGGGCACACACGCACATGTGCTGGCATGAGTTTTAAGCTGACAGGTTCAGGACTTGAACTATGGTCAACTACATGGAAGTCCAGTGATGCAACCATTACATCATCTGCTGGTTAAATGTTCTTTTTAAAAAAAAAAAAAATCCTCTTTTGAGAAGGCAATATTAATGGCTATGTTGCCGGACTCCCACGTAGTCGACCACGGTTTGAGTCCCGGACCTGGTGGCTTAAACTTATGCCGGGCGTGTGTGCGTGCATGCCCAAGATCCCGAGAGGAGAATGGAGGAGAAGGGATTGTGGCATGGGGGGATTTCTCACTTTCTGTCTCTCTGTCTCTCTCTGTCTTTCTGGCATGCATACTATAGCAAAAACCTCTCCAAAAAAAAAAAATCTCAGTTTTATGTTAAACAACTATGGCAGGAGACAGCTGAGTATCAGTATCAAATCCTGGAAATCACAGTGATATTAGGGAACCAAGAGACTCAGCTTTGCGCAATAAAAGAATAAAATGTTAGTAAAGTTCAATTAGCTTATGTCTTTGGTGATTAACAGCAAGTGCAATTTATTAGCCATCACTGTCTCTCATATTGGTCATGTTTACGGCTTCACATTTACTGAAGTCATAAACCTTAACTTCCGTGAAAATATGTAGATTTACATTTCAGATCTAGGAAGTCCACAATAAAATAACTTGATCGAAAATCTTTTCATTACAACAAATGACAGCAAAACAGAGATCTGTCTGTTATGACAAAAGAATAGAGAATAAGCAAGTTCAATTTTACTTAAGAACTGACTGATTAATTAGCAAACTAATACTCTTTGTTTTGTTCTCTGGATTATAATTCCCCTTAACATCACAGAGGAAGACATCTTATAGCATAGTACCTGAATAAACAAAGTACTTTAAAGTGGCTGGCTTCTCAGGTCGCCCTAATTTTAAATGATCTCCTTTCTTTTCAGTGCATTTCTTTTATGAGAGACACAGAGAGATAGGCACCCCAGCATGGTCTTCATGTCACTTTCCATCCCTGGCCTCAGGCAGCTGAGATCATGGGCCCGTGCACAAGCACCCCCCACATGTGTAGGGAGACCTCAGGATGTGAACCTGGGACCTTCACATATGACTTTAGCAGCACGGATCATTGGATTACTGCTGCAGCATCTCAGCTGGGCTGACCTTTTCATTCTAAAGGAAGATTTGTAGTCCCGATTTCATATCTTTTTCTCTCTCAAAGAGGGAGATTATATTATTGTGTATTTTCCACTGTATGTCTTCTTTTGATAAAGTCATGTAAAATGCTTAGTTAAAACAAAACAATACATATTTCAAAAATCTTCCTCCTATACACATTAGGTGTTTTGGGGTAAATATACACGTAATAAAGAAACATGGTAAAAAGCAGCATTCTGTAAAACATAGCCTGGAAATTGTGTGTGTGTGTGTACGTGCGTGTGCACACACACTCTATTCTAGCACATGGTTATTAGTGATTGACATTTAGAGGTGAGAACTATGATGATAGTAACAATTTGCAAGCGTGATTATATGTCAAGACTCTTTTCCGCTTACCCCCATAAATGAAATAGAAGCCAAACTGTTGCCCACTGCAATTTTTCTCCAGCGTGTTATGTGTAAAACTACTATGGACTATGCAGACCTTCCGCTGGTAGAAATTGTCAGGAAGAAACCCACAAAATTTCAACTTCCTTTCTAGCTATTTTAAGGAAAATATGCAATTTTACATGACTAACCTTTTATTCTCCTTTCTACAGCTTGGAATTGAAGCAGAGTCAATTCCAGAAGATATTGAAGATCCCAAAGCATACAGGTATAAGAATTTTGCATACATTCTAATTAGGTCTACGTGTTTGCAAAACTAACCAACATTTTGCAGCCATTGACTGAGCTAAATGAATTTCCAAATTATGGAATACTAATTTTTTTTTCGTAGGCTGTTTCTGTATTCTGGCCTGTTACCCTTTTAAATTTCTGTTTTCAGTATTGAGACTGCCCGGAGAAAAAGAGAATATGACAAGTTAATGAAAGAAGTGGAAGAAATAAAGGCTGAGAAGAGAGAACAAATCAAAGTTTTGAGGAATGAGTTTTGCAAACTATTAGAAATGAATAAAGAGTTACCAAATCACATGCAGTTTAAGCGAACAGTAAGCCTAAAAAAGATTTGATTTCAACTATATTAGGTACTGTTTCTGGATCAAGACTACTATTTTGCCAAGTAGGAACACTTAGAATCATCTTCGAGCTTCCCTTTATCTGGCCCATGTTTTTGTAGCAACTAAAGTACTGTAGACCTTGATACACAACTAGTTTTGGAGGTAGATAAGCCTCTTTAAAATTCTTTTTTTTTCTTTATTCATGATAGTATGTGTATACGTATGTGAGAGTGAGAGAGAGACAGAGACAGAGAAGAGCACCCGCCACAGCATCTGGTCATGCCATGGTCGTCTTCTTTCAGTCCTTCACCCCTTGGATCATGGGCACTTATGTGTGCCCAGTGTGTTCCAGGGTGACTGGGCTGGGGATTTGCTGTGTGGGATCCTGTTTCTTTTGATCGGTGCATTTCCACTCACCTTGGCTCTTACCTGAGCGTCTTTACGTAATACAAGTGCTCCTTGACTTATGTTGGGATTATGTCCTTATAAATACATCATAAGCTGAAAATATCATAAGTCAAACATGCATTTAATACACCTAACCTACCAAACAGCATTGCTTTGCCTAGTCCGTTTTGAATGTGTATATTCAAGTAGAATATGTATTAGGTCAAGCCTTCTCGCTTACCCCTTTCAGTGAAACAAACAAAGCAGTTTCATCAACTGCAATTTTTCTGTAGTTTGCTTTGTGTAAAACTACTATGTAGACCTATACTTGTTAGAAATTGGCAAGAGGAAAGCCAAAAAATCTTTAGTTTACTTCTTGAATGAATGCGTATTCAAGTAGAAATAGCACAGTCAAAAAATTGTAAGTCAAACATTGTAGGTCAGAGATCTTCTGTAGAAAATTAACTGCTGGATTTAGCTACCTAACTTTTTTCCCCCCCAGGGGCAGGGGTAATATGATAATTTATAAATATACATTTGAATCTGGTTATCAATCCTTGTTGTACCTAGCCACAATATCTGCTGGGCAGGGACATGTGTAACTTGATTCTCAGTGGCTCCATTTCTGTAATCATCAGATCTATTGATCTGGTCGATCCACTAAATTTCTAAAAGATGACTTAGTGTAGTGGTAGCCACAGGGACAATCACAACATTGTTTAAGCCAATTTTTTTTTTTGAGAGAGATTTTTTTCGCTGTAGGGTGCGCACGCTCACCAGACAGACAGAGAGAGACATAGAGACAGAAAGCAAGAAATCATCCCCCAGGGGGGATAGTCATGCTACAATCCCTTCTCCTCCATTCTCTTCTCAGGATCTTGGGCACACACGCACACGCGCCCGGCGTGAGTTTTAAGTCACTGGGTCCGGGACGCGAACCGCGGTCGACTACGTGGGAGTCCAGTGATATAGCCATTACACTAACTGCTGGTTCCCCTTAAGCCAAATTTTTATTCATGTTATTTTCATGTGTGAGTTATTGCAAAGCCACATGTACCTGTTAGTGATTAGTTGTTATTTTTTTGTGTGTGGTTTTTTTTTTTTTTTGTAGTTTCTCCTTAATGAAATTACTGTTAAGAATCTAATCAAATATAAACCTAAATATACTCACTCCTACAATTTTAGAAGTATTTCACCAATTTCATATGAAGAGTGCTTTGGCAAAATCATAATGGCTAACCTATTGCTTAAAAAAAAAACACGCATGATGGTTAAAATACATTTCTGCTATTTTACAAAGAAAATGTTGACATCCTTGGAGTATAGGTGACATAATTTAAGACAGAACAACGGAGGCAAGTGCTGTGGCTCAGCGCTTTGCATACATCATTACTGTAAAACACTGCTACTGGGGCCAGCAGGTGGCATGGTGGTTAAGGCTCTGGATTCCCACATGGCTGACAGCGGTTGGAGTCCCAGACCCGCAGCTTGAAAATCACATGGGGTACATATCCATGCATACCCAGAATCCCAAGAAGAAGGGATTGCTGTGTGGCCATTCCCTCTTGGGGGTGATTTCTCACTTTCTGTCTCTCTGTCTGTCTCTGACCAGTGCATATGCCCTGTGGCAAAAAACAAAACCAACCAACCAAACCATCAAACAACAACAAAATCCCATAAATATCTCTGAAAAAAGTAATTACTATTCACAATTTAGCCTCCATTCAGGCTCTGGTATTTTTCCAGTGGTGAAGGTAAGAAACAGAAGGCCTTTAAGTACCTTTATGGGACAAAGTAGACTCCTTGGTAAATGACATTCAACAAGAACTTGGTGATGTCAAGAAGACTGCCAAGGACTGCCATTTTTGCTAGGTGAGATCACATTGGGGGGGGTATTCAGCTAATGGCCAACTGCCAGGAACTTTGACCCTGTGCCCAACTGGGTATGTGATAGTAGTTTTTGGGGGATGATGAGAGAATATTTTTAAATGTTGTATATCCTCCAAATATCATGAATATTCATTATTTTTATCATCGAGAAAATTGTCTTTAAATATGTAACTTTATTTGTGTTGTTAATTATTTCTTAGAACTTCTTCATTTTGTGGAAGTTAAGATCAAAAGTACATTATTGCTCTCCTGGAATAGAGAGAGTTTATGGTATTTGGGAGAGAGCTATGATGGAACATGGAATTGAGAACAAAACTTATGTGTATATGGAACATAATTGATAGAGTGAATTGACAAAATATCTCTTTTGATGAACAAACCTTTATCCACAGGATTTTGATCTAGATTCCAAAATTCGTGCTGAAATTCACAGAAAAACAGCTTACAAAATTCATCAAGTGGAAAAAGAATTAGCTTGGGAGAAAGAGAAACATGAGCTTGGCCTAATGAAGCTACAGAATAGGTAGGACCCTTATTTCCTGCAAGTTAAGCTGTTTAAGAGCACATCTTTGAGTAACACTGTTTATAACAGGGTCAATAATGTGACTACAGAAGAGTCTTACTTTAATACTGACTGATGCGAATTTCAAGGAATCCTTGTGTCCTGTTACTGATACCTCCCTGAGCTTTCTTCTTACTCCTTTCTAGTATAAATGCGAAAAAATGTGGAACTTACAATGAAAGATAGCAACCTCCTGTCCAATCTCTGTCATGCATCAGTTTGACTTTCCAGAGGAAATTACTTTTTAAAAACTTCTTTGTCTTTGATTAAGATATAATTTACAACCATAAAGTACATAAGCCTTAATTGCACAGCTTGATACTTTTTTATATATGAATAAACATGTACATCCGCTATTAAGGTTAAGGTATAGAGGGTCAGCAGGTGGTGTGGTGGTTGAGGGGTTAGTCTCCCACATGGCCCATTGTGGTTCGAGTCACAGACCTGACGACTTGCTTTCTCACGTTCTCTCTCTCTCTGGTTTGCCAGTAATTTTTGTGTCTTAGCTTATAAACATATCACTCTAAATCTTCCGACTTTGTATGGTGTTCTTCCTGTTTTCTCCCTGTGCCTCTCTGTCTCTGTGTCTGGATTTTCACTTCTTATAATGGCAACAGTCATACTGGGTTAAGGCCTACCCTAATTACCATAATTAACTTGATAACCTCTGTCCAGACTCTGTTTTCAGATATGCTCATGTTCTGAGGTATTAGGGGTTAGACTTTAGTGTACCTTTGGGGTGGGGAGAACCCAATTAGACCCATAACACTCATCCCTTGGGACTCTTGGCTCTTTAAATCTCAGTCATTCTGCAGTAGTCTATCAGTGTGGTTTAAGTTGACATTTCCTCGAGGAGTGACATTTTCAGCCCAGTTTACTCATTTTACAAATTGGGTTTTAGGAGTTACTTATATATTCCATATATGAGCCTTGCCTCACATGTATTTATATATATATATGTATATATACACACATGTGTACACACATGTGTGTGTGTGTGCATGCATATGTCTAAATATTTTGCTACAGTTTGTGGCTTGCCTCTTCACTCCCTTAATGGAGTCTTTTGCTGAACAGAAAGTTTTAGTTTTAATAAAGTTCAGTTTATCAGTGTTTTTCTTTTTATGTTAATGCTTCTATGTTGTATTTAAGAAATCTTTGCCAACTCCAGTATATGAAATAACTCTCCTATGTTTTCTTCTAGAAACTGTCCTGCCATTACCTATCTTGAATAAGTTTTGTAAGTAGTGTGAGGTAGGGATCAAGTGTCATTTGTTTCTTTATAAATTGATGCAGTATTATTTGTTTCTAAGACTGTCCTTTGTTCCCTAGATTATAGTGATGCCTTTGTCATTAATCAGGTAACTCTGTATGTATGGGTTTGTGTTTGAATTCTTCATTCTATTTCTTTGGCTCATCTGTCTATCCTTGTACTGGTATCACTCTGTCTAATTAAGTCTTGATATCTAATATTGTAAATTTTCCAACTTTGTTCTCTATCTCCAATTTTACTTAGGTTCTTTTTTCTTTTTCTTTAATACACTCATACTTTAATTTCATTTTCTCACTAACTTAAAAGTTTTCTTTTTTTTTAATTTATGACAGTGAGATAGGGAGAGAGAGAAAGAGACTGGCACCATTCATAAGTTCTGTCACACTGCATTCCCTTTCCTCTAGTCTGCTAGTCTATCGGGTCTTGGGCACTTACTTGAGTGCCTGACTAGGCTGGGGATTCGAACCAATGTCAGCATGGGGGACCCAGCTTCTCCTGAGCAGTGCATCACTACTAAACCACAGAGCTGGCCCTAGGTTTTTTTGCATCAAATCAACTTGTCAATTTTTACAAAAAGCTTGCTAATATTTTCACTGGAATTATGTTAATATAATATGTTAATAGAATAATATTATATTATTAATAATATTAATAATAAGAAATCTTTAGGAATAATAGACTTTTTTTTTTTTGGAGAGATTTTCACTGTAGGGCGCGTGCACTCGCCAGACAGATGGAGAGAGACATAGAGACAGAAAGCGAGAAATCACCCCCCAGGGGGGATGGTCACGCCGCAATCCCTTCTCCTCCATTCTCCTCTCGGGATCTTGGGCACGCACGCACACGCGCCCGGCGTGAGTTTTAAGCCACCGGGTCTGGGACACGAACCGCGGTCGACTACATGGGAGTCCAGTGACATAGCCATTACGCTAACTGCTGGTTCCCATCATTATTATTTTTGTAACCAGAGAGAGAGAGAGAGAACACATGAGAGAAAGTGAGAAATCAACCTGCCCGGTCCTGGGCTTGAACCACAGTCAGCCATGTGGGAGTCTAGCACCTCAAGCACCACACCACCTGCCAGCCCCAGGGATAATAGACATTTAAAACTAAATATCCAGTCGTTCAATCCGTAAACATGATATATCTTGAAAAGAGTCACTTTTAATAATTGTTCTAATGCTTACAAGCACACATCTAATTAATATATTTATACATATTTATCATTATGTATTGACTTCCCAGTATGATAGGTAAGGATTTTGCTCACCTTAACATGCTCATGCTTTCTACTTTCTTGAATATAGAGACTCATTATCACAACTGCTTTAATATCCTTGACTGCTGGTTATATTATCTCTGTCATTTGAGTCTTTTTCTGTTGACATGCATTGCTGTTTGTTTTTGGTCCATTTTTTTCCGTTTTTGTTTTGTCTGCTAGTAAATTTTTTTTTTTTTTTTTTAGTTTTCTTTTTTCTATAGGGCATATGTACTCAACAGAGAGACAGAAAGGGGGAAATTAGTCCCCTTGGAGGATGACCCTGCTGCAATCCCTTCTCCATTCTCCTCTCGAGATTTTGGGTACATACACATGAATTTCAAGCCACTGGATCTGGGACTTGAACCACAGTCAGTCATATGGGAGTCCAGTGACATAACTATTATGTCATCTGCTAATCCCATGCCTGGTAAAATTTTAAATTATTACTATTTTTTTCTAATGACCAATGGGCACGTGTTTATCAGAGAGATAGAAAACACCTCCCTCAAAGGGACTTGTCATGTCACAATCCTCTTTCTTTCATTTCAACTTCCTGTCAGGAGTTTGGGCATGCACACACATGTGTCTAGACTGGTACTTCTTTTTCTTTTTAAAAAATTTGCCAGAGGACACATGCACTCAGTGGAGAGAGACAGAGAGATGGAAGCGAGGAGTGGAAGGGGCATCCTATAGGAGTTGTCACAATGCAATCTCTTCCCCATTCCTCCCTCCTTTTGGGATTTTGGGTAGAATGCACATATACCTGGGATGTTTTTCAAGCCATCAGGTCTGAAACGCAAAGCATACAGTAGACCATGTAGGAGCCAGTCGCCTCAACTACCATGCCACCAGCTAGCCCAGCCCTCTGCATATTTTCAAGCTTCTGGAGGGCCAGGATTTGAACTACAGTTGGCCATGTGGGATCTGGCTCTCTTAACTACCGTGCTATGGGGCTAGCTCCTTGCTTGTACATTTTGACTGGATGTCAAACATTGTAAATTTTGTATTGTGGGTGCTAGATATTTTAATATACTTTTATTGGGTCATCTGGAAAGTCATGACATATTTTTATACAGAATATGTCATGACTTTTCTGAATGACCTAATAAATGTTCTTGAGCTTTGTTCTGGGACTCCATGAAGTTATTGGGAAATAGTTTGACTTTTTTTTTTTAGTTTTTTTTTCTCACTTATTTTACATGGGATCAGGGTAGCCTTCAGTATATACAAAGACAATTCTTTTTTGAGTACTGTACATCCCAGGTATTATCAGACTGGTGGTGGGCACACAAGCTATTCCAATTTCTGGGAAGTCTGAGGATTATTCTGCCTGCTCCTTTCTGTTGGTTCTTTCCTCCACCACAGGTAGACGTGTCCTCATGCATGTGCTGACAGGTAAGACCTGAAGACTGGAAGGGAGCTCCCTGCAGACATTCAGAGCTTGTGTTCTCTGTGCAGCTAGCTCCTCTCTGGTACTCCACCCTGCAGATCATAGCACTCATTACCTGGCAGTAAATCCCCGGATAATACTTGAATATTTGAATCCCTGAATTCTAGCTAGATTGGTGATAAGAGTAGGTAAGAAATTTCTCTTAGGAAGAACTCTCAACACAGTAGCCTATGTTTGGCTTTAATAAACATTCACAATGTATTTATAAATGTGTATGTATAATTTATAAATGTGTGTTTGTGTATCTCAAGTATGAATTCTAAATCACAGACTTAGGTATGTAAGTAATATGGCTATTTATTTTATTTAAAATAACTTAAATTTGACTCTTGGCCTCCTTTGTACCGGTAAGAATGGATAGTTGGTCTCAATGCTACTGAGGCTCATTCCCAGCCTGCCTGCTTCTTTGGGTCCTTTGATTCTGTGCTTTGCTGGAACAGGCAGTCTTTGGCGAGGCCAAGAGCCTCTGTCCCCAGGACTGAGCACACAGATAGCCATCACTTCTGAGGCCTTGCCCTCTCCCCAGTCCTGTCGGAAGCACTTGCGTGCTCAGAGCTCCAGAACACAACTTACCCGTCTTCCTCCTAGTCAGATGGAGCCTCTCCCTCGGCCGTCTCCTTGACCTAAATACTCTTTTCCTCAACTCCCTGATTTATCTCCCTGGTCTAAGCACCCTCCATTCACCATCACATCATCATGTCTTCTGCAAATATATAGAAGGAAATAATAAGTACCAAGCCACCTGATTGGAAGGGGGAAGGATAAAGTTGTATCACTGAATAACAGTGGATAGTACTAGTGTTTTCATCTTTCCCAATTCAATAGGCCAAATATGATGACCTCTTGACTGAATGATTTGCACTCCTTTTATTATAGGTGAGGTTGAACATATCTTTTTATATGTTTATAGTTCACTTATATTTGATCTGAAAATTACCTGCTTAGATTTTTTTGTTCATTTTTGAGGGGGTTCTGTTAATTTCCCCATTTATTTTGAGTGTTAGTCACTACGCCTATATTAAAAAAAATTTGTCTTTTTATTATACATATTGTAAATATGCACTCTGCTGTTTGCCTTAAATTTTGTTCAGGGCCAGTCAGGTCACATGGTGGTTAAGGCAGCTGGATTCTACATGGTCAGATGCATGGTTTGAGGCTCAGATCCAGCAGCTTGAAAAACACGCATGTATATGTGTGCCCCAAATCCCAAGAGGATAATGGAGGAGAAGGGATATTGTCATGGCCATCCCCCTGAGGAGTGATTTCTCACTTTCTTTCTCTCTTTCTCTCACTCTCTCTCACTGATTCTCTCCAGCAAGCACATGCACCCAGTAGCAAAAAAGTATAAAGTATATTTATGGGAGGGAGAGGTACTTATAGACTAGTGCCCACAAATAGTAAACAATTTAATTGACTAGTAACTTTAAAATATTTGATTTTTCAAATTTTATAATGGTGTTACACTATTTATAGGAAATAGTGTGTTATAGTCTTACTTTGCTTAGTAATTATGCAATCATCAAATTTGTGACTATTGCAAATACATTTTTTATTTTTTCAGATTTCGCGATCCATTGGAAAGTGATATTATTGTGGTTCACGCCATACAAAGTGACCACAAGGTGGCCTCCTATAGACTGGTGAAGCCCTCCAAGTACTCTAAGTTTAAACGGCCGAGTCAAACAGAGAGAAGAGCAAGCAAAATGGAGAGGTTTGAAAAAGAGGGAATTGGAAGAAAGGACAGCCAGAAAGAGACAGGTAGCCTCAATGACAAGAAGGCTTTCAAGTCCTTACTGATCAAGAGTTTAAAACTGAATTATCTTTTTGTGGGTAGAACCTCTGAACCTTCTTTGGTGATGTGAGCTCATTATCTTGTTCCCCTTTCTTTCATAATGATTTCATCTGGAATAAATAATTAAGAGAGTTAGGAGTGTATGTCCAGAAAGAGAGGCCATGTTTCTCTACAATTGCTCCATGACCTCTTTCCTCTTTGATGAGAGCTCCAAAGGAACCCACCCTGGTCATGTGACAGAGTGGGTGTCAATACTGGATGCTCAGACGCTAGTTTCTAGGCAGTATTTCTTTCCAAATTTCTGAGCCCCATCCCGGTGTATGGACTAAAACATTACATTTCAAATTATTTTCCAAGAATATGTGCTTTAAACAGAATGATGAGGTATGAAACTAGGACTTCTAATCCCTGCAACTGGTTTCTTGTGACTTGCCACGAGAAATGTTCACCTGTTGAAATATCCATTTTGTAAGACAAATAATAATGTGATTGAATGTATGGAAGAAAATGAAAATAAATAAATAAATAAATAAATAAATAAGGTCCTTAAGAGCGAAGTTGTGACTTAGATGTCACTGTTTGTTATTCCACAGTACTTATTATAAAGTTGAATTCATGATAATTGCTCAAGAAATACTTTGATTTATAGATTTCATATAGTCTCTGGATTTTTTTTTTTATGTGGCAGGTTTAATACAAGATTTGAGAGTTTTGTTTTTATGTTTCAAATGACTAGAAAAAATGTTGATTCTTTGTATAGGTGAGACTATTAGCGTACAAGAAGAATCAATAGTAGAAAAAGGGAAGCAATTTCGGCCTAAAACCTTAAGTGAAATTATGGTGGAAAATCAAATTGAGAAAACCAAGAAACTTATATTAAAAGCTGAAAAGGCCCATCTTAAGATTCTGCAGAGAAAAAAAGAATGGGAGGAACTGTGAGTTTTTTTTTTTTTAATCTAAACTCTTATCTTTTAAACATGTGAACCCTGAAATATATCTTTGAAAACTTTATATTTATTGATATTGTTATTCTTTACATTAAAAGTGAAAGAAATCTACACAGAGATGAGCTAATAAAGTCAGGTCAGGGTCAGCCCTGTAGCCCGGTAGTTGAGCACACAGTGGTTAAAGCACTGTGCAGAGGAAGCTGGATCCCAGATGGCCAAACGGAAATCCAATCCTAGCCCTAGTCATTATTTAGTTATTTCTTTCTCTTTTTCTTGTTAGAGTGTAGCTTTTTGGTTATTTCTTTTGATCTTTTTTTCTGATTCCCAAAATGCATTTGTTTGTTTGTTTGTTTGTTTGTTGCTTTAAGGTTGCTAGTAATAAGTCTCTTATGTTTTCTTTATTACATTTTTGTTGTTTTTGCTCTTCTCCCTGAATTACGTTCAGTGGCCTGTGTTTGAGTTTGCTGATCCTTTTTTCTGCTTGTTGTAGTAAGCCATTGAACCCTTTCCATGAATCTTTCAGTTCAACTATTGTGTTAACTCCACAATTTCTGTTTGATATGTTCGAATATTTTCTATAATATCTTTGTTGAAGTTCTCACCTTGTTCGTGCATTGTTCTCTTCACTTCAAAGAGCATATTTATGATCACTGAATGTTTAAAAAATTCCCTGTCAGAGAAATTACATAATTCCATTTTCTTGGGTCAGTTTCTGGAGATGTACCTTGACTTTAAAAAAAGATGCTTGGACTCTAGATGAAAGTGCATCACCAACTGAGAATTGTACTTTTGCTTCATGATTGAATTTGTATACATACCTGTATTAAAGTAGGTATATTAGAGATTGCTGTCTTATTCGTGTATGGGCTGTCTATTTTTTTGGATAGATACAAGAGTAGACCTGCTGATGACTATGAAGATCCCAAAGATGTTCAAGCCATCAAAGAAGCCCAGGTGTTTATGGGAGATTTCAATCTGAAGACAGCCCCAGACTACAAGATACCGGAGCACATGAGAATAAATGCTGCCAAGAAGAAAGAAGAACTGGGACACCTCGACTCCCTGGTACTTACCCACAGACTTCACGACAATGAAAACGCATCCTTAGTTTTCCATTGATTCTTTTTCTAAACCAACCTATTTCTCTATCTGGTCCACAAGGGGATATATAACTACAGAAATTTAGAAATGGAAAGTACTTTCGTGATAGTTAAATCATGAAATAGAGAATGGTAGTTTATCAGTGAGGAAACTGAGGCCCAGCAAGGCCAAGACACTGCCCATGCTTAGTCTCAGCTAATAAGGCAGAGCTAGGGCTTCCCATGAGTTACTTGATGCCCATTTCATGGGTGAGAGTGTTGTATTTCGTGGATCGTGAACCTCTAAAATTTAAATAAACCCTTGTGAGATTTGGTTTTTGGCTGCCATGGACCACCAAGGACTTAGGAAAAAAGGCTGCTGGTTAGCCTTTTCTTAACAGGACTTCCAAACTTTGGTAGGAAACTGAATAGTAACCAACAAATGTACTCCTCTCTGAATCTCTCTGCATTCTTCCGCGTTGCTTCCCGTCACCCCACCTTCTGACTCTCCTTGCCTTATTAAGGTTTCCTCTTTCTGCTATATGAATTCTTGATTGCCATTTGAACTGACAAGTGATTTTTTCATACTTAGCGACTTAGAAAACATCTGGTCTACAATTTTTAGGGGATTTGATACTTAGCCACTGAATATAGTTGTACAAGTTGCACATTTTAAGACATTACTTTGGAAAGGGCCCCAATCTTATTGCAGATATAATATATTTGAATATTTTATATTTTGCTGACAAATAAAACATTTCCTGAGGGAAGGGTATCTTTTTCTATTTCACCAAAGATATATATGCCAGAAGTACAAGGCAAGGTCCTGGCATATCAATTCCTACCGACAAATACATTTTTGTAGCTTTTAACTGTACCTTTCTCATCAAAATGGACCTTTGGATTGTTTTACTAGCTGCTTGTCTTGTTTATCCATCAGATTCCATTCACCATCATAGATAAATGTCCTTAGGACCACAATTTATCGGTCACCCAACCTGAAATTTCATAGTCTAGCTAGGGGTTATGTCCTAAGCTTCATTGCTGTACAGTGAAATCTGCTTTACTAAGTGGCAGCATAAAATAATGTAGAACATGGGGCCGGCAGGTGACATGGTGGTGAAGGGTGCTGGACTGTCACATGACTGACTGTGACTCATGTCTTGGGCCTGGTGGCTTGCTTTCTCACTTTCTCTCACTCTCTCTGTCTCTCTGTCTCTCTCTGACCCTGACCCTCTCTGATCAAATTAAAAAAAAATAAGTAAGTAAATAAATAAAGTTAAATGAAATAATTCTTTTTTTTTTTTTTTTTGGAGAGATTTTCACTGTAGGGCGCGTGCGCTTGCCAGACAGACAGAGAGAAACATAGAGACAGAAAGCGAGAAATCACTCCCCAGGGGGGATGGTCACGCCACAATCCCTTCTCCTCCATTCTCCTCTCGGGATCTTGGGCACGCACGCACACACACCCGGCGTGAGTTTTAAGCCACCGGGTCCGGGACACGAACTGCGGTCGACCACGTGGGAATCCAGCGACATAGCCATTACACTAACTGCTGGTTCCCAATGAAATAATTCTTTAAAAAATAATAATAATTAGGTAGAATACACTATTCTCTAAGTCAGAAAATGAAGTTTTGTTTTTACCTCTGCCACTTACTAGCCATGTAAACATTGCTAGGTTGTGTAAAACTCTCTAAACCTCAGTTATCTTATCTGTAAAAAGTATTAAGCGTTTTTTTTTTTCCGGAGAGGTTATCGCTATAGGGCACGTGTGCTCACCAGAAAGACAGAGTGACAGATAGAAAGTGAGAAATCACCCCCAGGGGGGATGGCCATGCCACAATCCCTTCTCTTCCATTTTCCTCTTGGGATCTTGGGCACGCATGCACATGTGCCGGCATGAGATCCAGGACTCAAACCGCAGTACTACATGGGAGTCCAGTGACATAGCCATTATGCCAGCTGCTGGTCCCAGTATTAAGCATTTTTAAAGTAGTGTATTATATGTCCCACTCTTCCCCAGCCAGTGTTTAGATTTGTATGGTATTTGGAAAACTAGAAAGAAAAAGTTAATGCATAAGGAAGAGCCCTCAAAGACATAGGCCTCCCAGTCATCAGAATGGTTTGGGTTCGGTCTTATAGGCCTAACCTACAATCTGCCACATACTTCACTTGGTTTGGCCCTGGGCTGACAGCCCTAGGTGAGTCTAAGTTCCAGCAGGAAAGTCAATGGCCTTCCTTCCCTGGAGACAGTATCCAGCCAAGCACAGGCTTCAGGAAGGACTGTCCTGGAGTGGTGAAAGAGGACAGGGAACTGCAGCTCTCAGAGGAACAGAAGGAACACGTCCCGGAAAGCAATGGAATACCAGAGGTTACATCCAGACTGTGCCCCTGTCTTGGAAGGGCTAAATGGGAATGAGAAAAAAAGCCTTAAAGCTAGAGAAAAGGCTGACTTTTTTAATCTTGAAAATTTTCTAAACCTACCAGTTAAAGAACAAGAGCAAATAGTAACTCAAGTTTCCTTTGTGAGAAGATTGTCATTTTGCTTCCTTCCTCTGCTTTGTTTCAGGCCCATGGAAAGAAAATGCACATGAACAAATGCATCCTCTCCCTTCGAGACCTTAAGGTGGCTGTTATTGAGGAAATACAGTGCCTCGTACAGGAACTGAGGAACATTCAGTCGACTCTTCCCAAATCCAAGCACACCCCCATTCCCCAAGTCCCTCAGATACATCCGGAAGAAGTTCCAGAAAAGAGATTTGAGTATGATGAGGAAACTCTCCTAACTTTTAAGCAACGTGTGATAGAAAGTGAGAATGAAAAGCCCCCCCCAATGAAACAGGCAGTTTCTGGAGCCATAGGTGGAGGATTCCTCAAACCTTCTTCTGGAAAGGATGGGGATTTGTTGACACGAGATTCAATAACTAGATCATCAAAGGCGTCTGTACACAGTCTAGATAGTTCAAGGCTCATGGAATTTGAAAGAGCGGAGACAACTGAAGTGGAGCTGGAGATCATGAAAAGGGACGAGATCAAGCACTTGTACATGCAAGAGTACTTGACCAAAAGGGTAAGAGCCAATGCCGACCCTATTTGCGATGGAAGAGCAGAGAGTAAGAGAAGAATCAGATCTAGTTTCTCATTTGTTTGTTTGTTTATTTATTTATTTATTTATTTATTTTAAGATTTTGGTCATAGGGTGCATGTGTTCACTGGAGAAACAGAGAGGGAAAGTGAAAAATCATCCCTTGGCGGGGTGTGGAGATGACTGCACTGCAATCCCTTCTCCAGTCTCCTCTTGGGATTTTGGGCATGCACACACATGCACCAGCATGATTTTCAAGCCACGGAGTCTGGGACTGGAACTGTAGTGGGCCATGTGGGAGTGCAGTGCCTTAGCCACTGCACCACCTACTGGCCTCTCATT